CTGCTGCTCCTGATGATGAAGACCCCGAGTTGCTGCCAGATGACCTCGATGAGAAGCTGCTGCTGTTCGAAACAGATGAAGATGCTGCTGACAGTTTGGAAGAGTGGCTGCTGAATCCTTCAATGGCGATTCCCTGGAGTCCAGAAGAAAAGGAAGCAGCAGCAAAAGATAAAAGAGGAGAAGACACAGAAGACGCAGACGAGGACCCTTTTGAAGGCCCCGCTGCTGCTTCCCCAGAAGCAGCAGCAGCAGCAGCAGCAGCGGGGAGGGAGCAGAGCCACAGGCCCCAGAAGCGAACCCGGGAAGAGCCAGCAGACAGCCCCGACGATGCTGCTGCTGCTGCTGCTGCTCTGCAGCAGCAGCAGCAGCAAAAGAGAGTCCGGCGAGAAGCAGCGGAGCAGCAAACTGAAGCAGAAGACACACAGGATGAAGCACCAGGAAAAGCAGACATCTACCCCGCGGCAGCAGCAGCTGCTGCTGCTGCAGGGCCACCAGAAGCAGCAAATGAAACACAAAAGACGCAAGAGAGAAAAGGGAAAAAAAGGATGAAAAGAATACATGAGAAAAAAGAGCCAGAAGAGGTGGAGGAAACAAAAGCTGATTATATAGACGGCAAAGCAGGAGGGCGAACAACCAGCGACCAGCAGCAGCAGCAGCAGCTGCTGCTGCAGCAGCAGCGAGAACAAGAACAGCAGCAGCAGGAGCTGCTGGAGCAGCAGAAGCAGCAAAAAGAAGAAGAACAAGGACAACAACAGCAGCGACAGCAGCAGCAGCCACAACAACAACAACAACAAAAACAACAACAGCAGCAGCAGCTGGAGAAGCAGCAACAGCAACAACAACAGCAACAACAACAACAACAGTATCAGCAGAAACAGCAGCATCAGCAACAACAGCAACAAAAACAACAGCTGCAGCTGGAGCAGCAGCGGCAGCAACAACAGCAACAGCAGCAGCAACAACAGCAACAACAACAACAGCAAGAACAGCTGGAGCAGCAACAGCAACCACAACAGCAGCTGCAGCAGCAGAGGCTGCAGCAGAAGCTGCAGCAAAAGCTGCAGCAGCAGCTGCAGGAGCAGCTAGAGCAGCAGAAGCAGTTAAAGCAGCAGCAGCTGGAGCAGCAGTTGCTGCAACAGCAGCTGGAGCAGCAGCAGCAGCAGCTGCAGCTGCAGCAGCAGCAGCTGGAGCAGCAGCAGCAGCAGCTGGAGCAGCAGCAGCAGCAGCTGCAGCAGCCGCAGCAGCTGCAGCAGCTGCAGCAGCAGCTGCAGCAGCATCTGCAGCAGCCGGCGCTGCAGATGCTGCCGTTGCAGCTGCCTTCAAATGTGCAAAAGTTCCCTGTTCTTTGCTCCCACCTGCTGGGATTCCTAGAAGCCTCCGATGTTCGCAACTATGCCCGAATGTCAAAGTTTGATTGTTTGCTGCGGGCCCTTGCTGCTGCTCCTGGGGGCCCCCTGGGGCCCCCCAATCTTGAGGGGCCCATGCACAGCAGCAGCAGCAGCTCGGGGGTCTCCGTGGGGCCCCCAAGTCTTGAGGGGCCCATGCTCAGCAGCAGCAGCAGTTCGGGGGCCCCCGTGGGGCCCCCCCTGCTGGAGGGGCCCATGTTGGAGGGCATCAGCAGCAGCAGCAGCTCTGGGGGGCCCCCTCTGCTGGAGGGCCCCATGCAGGGGACCCTCAGCAACAGCAGCAGCAGCAGCAGCAGCAGCAGCAGCAGCAGCAGCAGCGGCGTGGGGGTTCTCCCGGGGCCCACCACGCTGGAGGGGGCCCTCACAAGCCCCAGCAGATTTGAGGGCCCCCTGAGGGGCCCCAGGCTGGGGGGGCCCCCGGGGCCCCGCAGAGATGAGCCCAGAAGGCCTAGATGTTCTGTAAGTTTGCTGCAGTTGTATCTTTTTGCTGCTAAAGATATATTTGTTGGATTTGTCTTTTAAAGCATTTCTTTTATTTCTTTTTTATCTTCTTTTTCTCTTTTTAAATGCTTCTATTTTTCATTTTTTGCTGCATTTTAATGCAAATGGTATTTTCTTGCATTTGCACTTTTGGCCCACTTTGCCTTTTTTATAAGTGAAGAGCCTTTTGGCCCTCTTTATTCATTTACATATTTATATAATTTTGTATACTTATATATTTATATATTAATATATTTTTATATATATTATTATTTACTTGGATACATTTATATATAAATACATATATATATATATTTCAAAGTACATGTAAATATAAATATGTTCATAATATACATATTTAAGGCCTACTTGTCTCATATGCCTTAAATGATTTTATAAGTGTACATATAAACATATCTGTATATTTTTGTATATCTATATATATGCACACTATATATATGCATATATTTATAGATTTTTTGGCTTTTTCTGGTTTAAATAATTTTATAAATACATAAATATATATATATGTATATTATTTGCCTAATAGTGTTTAATGCTTCTTTATTCATTTTGTTTTCATTTTTTGTTTTACTGCGCATTTGGTTGCATTTAAGATGCGGTGTACGTACACCCCAGACTTGTGCTGCAAGTCATTGGAGACTTTGTGCATGCGTTTTTTTTAATTAATTCAAATGATACTTTTTGGGGCTTTTTGCGAAAATGCTTGGCTGTTTGCATTAAATCTTTCTTCAATTAAAAGTCTTTTCTTGTTTTTCAAGAAAAGAGTCCCGCTGCTGCTGCTGCTACTGCTGTTTGTTGCGGCTTCTGTCCATTTTGCTTCTTCTCAGATACCTGCATTGCATTCCCTGATAGCAGCAGCAGAAGTAGCGGCAGAAGCAGCAGCAGCTGCAGCAGCAGCAGCAGCAGCAGCTGAGGCCGCGGAAGCCGAAAAAGCCGCAGCAACAGTAGCAGAAGCAGCAGCACAGCAACATAATCCCCAGCCGACCCCGTCCCCCTTTTTGGCGCTTGCAGGCATCCCTGCGCCCTCAGCAGCAGCAGCAGCAGCAGCAGCCGGACCAGCAGCAGGTCCAGCAGCCGGACCAGCAGCAGGTCCAGCAGCAGGACCAGCAGCAGTTCCAGCAGCAGGCCTAACGGTAGAAACCCCAGAAGCGGTAGCAGGACCATCATCATCAGCAGCAGCAGCAGCAGGGCCATCATCATCAGCAGCAGCAGCAGCAGGACCATCATCATCATCAGGAGCAGCAGGACCATCATCAACAGCACAAGCCGCAGGACCATCATCAGCAGCAGCAGCCGAAGGACCACCAGTAGCAGCAGCAGCCGAAGGACCATCTTCAGAAGCAGCAGCCGCAGGATCATCATCATCAGCAGCAGCAGCCGCAGGACCATCAGCATCAGCAGCAGCAGCTGCAGGAAGCTCCAAATCAGCAGCAGCAGCAGCAGGGCCATCCCCATCATCATCAGCAGCAGCAGCAGAAGGCCCCTCCTCAGCAGAAGCAGCCGCAGGGCCATCCCCACCATCAGCAGCCGCCGCAAGAACACCATCATCATCGTCGGCACCAGGGGAAAGCCCAGCAGCAGCAGCGGGAGCAGCAGCAGCAGCAGCAGAGAGTCCCGACGAAGCAGCAGAAGCAGAGTGCGCCTCCGTCGGAGCGCTTGCGGCGTCAGCGGAGTCCCCCGCCGCTGCAGCGGCGTCGCCGGAGTCCGGAGAAGCAGCAAGCGACGCAGTGCTGGAAGCAGCAGCAGCAGCAGCAGCAGCAGCAGCAGACGAGGCGCGTCCGGCGCAGGCGGTGCTGCGCTGCTGCCTGAAAGCGTTGCCGCTGAGCACGGAGCTGCAGAAGGAGCCGGGGCTGCGGTCGCCGTACCTAGCAGCAGCAGCAGCAGCAGCAGCAGCAGGCGCGGGAAGCTCGGGCTGCCCGCGGCAGCAGCTCGCGACGCACCCCTTCTACCGGCTGCCAGCAGTGCTGCCCGGGGCCTCCGTGAGGCCCTTTGCTGCAGCCAACTTGAGGCCCCTTGGCCTCAAGTCCTCGTGGCCCATGCTGGCCATTGTGGCCATTCGGGGCCTCCTGAAGCTGCCAGCAGTTGGCAGCGACGCGCTGCTGCGGCTGATGCGCAGCCTGGAGGCGCTGGTGAGCCACGCGGTCTTCCACAGCGACCCGCTGCCGCAGCCGCAGCAGCAGCGGCAGCAGCAGCAGCGGCGGCGGCAGCGGCGCGCGGAGGCCGAGGAGGAGGAGGAGGAGGAGGAGGA